GTAACATAAACATCACATTTTTATTTTCAATTTTTGCCAAGCACGGGCTTTATATATTTAAGAATTCGTATAATATTTTTATATTTGAGTTTATGAATAATAGTTAAATTGTAAAATATGTTTTGTCAAACTTTCCGGTATATATCATTTTTTAAGATGAACAACACTTATTTACAATAATAAAATAAAATTATACCATTAATATTAATCAAATATAGAAAAAATTGTACTTTATATAATAAACAAAATAAAATCTAATAAATATTCCTTCAGAAAAAAAATTTCTATGTCTAAGCCTCAAAAAAAGCTAGTATCACAACTATTATCACAATAAAATAAATATTAATAATCATCACAATTATATGTCATTTTATCACCTAGTAATGATTCTGATGAGGTTCTTTCTATTTTTGATTTTCATAATTATTATATTATAATTATAACAAAACATGACATATATAGTCAACTAAATTAGCGGTGGTAAATATGACCGTTATTTTTCAAAACATTGCAAACACTACTATTGGTTGTCGTAACGGTGGTTTTCAATTTAAAGTAGTACCCATTTGTTACTCGTAATCAGATTCTATTCATTGTTAAGAATAACTGCATCTATTTTTGAAAAAAATGTCTCCTTGCACGATGATTTCTGATTTAGGTATAGCATCTGATCGATCTTCTATCTGTGTTCAAGTTATCAAGAGTGTCGAGGAAAGCCTAGGTGTTCACGGTATTCAGCGATCGTTTATATTCGCAGACGAACATGTAAGTATAACTTCAAAAATAACATACTGTCTGAATCTTAATATATTACTGTCTGAATCTTAATATATTATCAATACCATCATTATGTTTTAACTGAAAATCTAGGGTGATCGAATACGTGCATCGATTCCGAATCGTTTAGTAGACCATTATGAAGGCATGATGTGTGATAAAGATTGGTATTTCATTGGTAACTTCAAAATTACTCCACACATAGGAACTTCGAGGATTACAGTCAATGGTCTCCATATCTGTATCGATGAGGATACTCATGTTGAGAAGACATCGTCTAAATCAGATGACCAGTTGTATTCATTTGTTAATTTTAGAAATGTCCTTGACGAATCTCTGATGGAAAACATAGACGTTGGTATGTTTTCTTAGTATTTCATTATACTCAATTAGATTAATTAATACTCTACTTAATTATATGAATATATTGCTTTATGCTAGTTGATTTGATCAGAGGTATTATCAAAGTTTGTCAATTGGAACGTCAAGACCAATTTTGGATCGGAAATCAGAGAATCAACTCAAGTGTTCTAAAATTTACAATAAGAGATTTTGAGTAAGAATCCATTGATACAAAGACTAATACATATATAAATCTTTACTATCATATTCTCGATGTTAAGGAAAATGATATATTAATTCTGATTTTTAGGGGTGTCGACATCAATTGCATAGCGTGGGGAAGAGATGCTGAACATTTTGAGTCCTTATGGAAAAATACTTCTCGTCGCAAAATCGTTTTCTGTGTATTGAGATTTTGGGAGATGTGTCGATATGGAGGTTATTTCTCATTCTATCGACCAACCATATATCAATTTATATTTATATCAATTGTAGCTAATATAATTTTCTATATTGTACAGATGAAATATGTGTTTGTTCTGGTCGAGAATTTTCTGAAATATTGTTCGATCCTCCAATTCCTGAAGTCGAAAATTCTCATTTTATGTAAGCATTGTTCACTGTTATCATCTTGTAAATTTACTAAACAAATTTTTTGAATATTCGACTCATTATTTATCTTGTTCTTGCAGGCTTGACTACACTGATGATTTTAACAACATTGAAGATGGCTACTTTTTTGATCACTCACCTATTTTCCCTAGCCATTGAATCTACCAATTTCATTTGATGTTTTCATTTATTTTGTTTGACAATTCTATTTGACTTTTTTCTCATTATTTTGAATTTTAAAACCCTTTAATTAGATGAAAGAATTATTATACGTAATAAAATTAGAAAATATTAAGATAACACATTAACAATATGATTGATATTGAAAACATTATTAATTACTAATAAATTTAATAGATCAGGGCAATAACCGAGATATTCATAAATTATAGGACTAACCTTTTGACCATCCAAGACCATCACAATTTATTTGTTAAAGGAATAGTCGAATTTTGGTTACAACACGAAATTTTTTGGCCCATAAGATGTATACAAATTTTGGGCTCAGATGATATATAATTTAAATGTAACATAATAAATCGTTGACATCAAAAAGATTTAGAATCAAATCAGTTATTATATATGTTATTGACATACTTTTTAATAATCCAACACGGGGTATTTTTTGACAGAACATTATTAAGAATAATGACATATGCCTGATTATCCATTCCTTTATTTTATTTACACTCCAATCGATTAAGACACAATCGTTTATCGTTTATATGCGGTTTAGGCATTAATATTATATATATAATCAAAAATGTTAAGTTTATTGTATATTGGAGATATACATCTACAAAATATTATACATATACATATATCAAAAACTATAGATATCCATCTATTCAAATATATCAGAAGTTGTCAGATATATTTTTAAAAACGCAATGAATACTTAGCCCTTTGAGTAGACTATAGTTTAAAAATCAACTTTTCAAATCACCATACATCACCAAAAAAGACAAAACACTACAAAACCATTGATATACAAATTTATTCTAAACACTAAAGACAATGTAACGATATCATTCATAACATTCATAATATAAATAAGACATAATCATTCATAACATTCATAATATAAATAAGACATAATGCAGTATGCATAGAGTCAAACCAAAATAGTAGATTAAACAACAACCGATATCATTTAATAAGTATCATAATATAATAGTTTTATAAAACATTAAAAAGAAAGATAAGGAATTGACATTCCATCGATAGTGCATTAGTTAAGGCGGTATCGCCTACAAAAAAAAAAATCGATATGTTAGATCAATATATCTAAAAATAAACTAACAAAATATGTCAATAAAGAAAAATTAAATTTAATACTTACTTAGCCCTGAAATCGTCAATCTCGTCATCAACAGGATTACACAGGAAATCAGAGCAAGGAGGGTAAGAGCATAGGACAACCGAATTCTTATCAACACCTATCATTAATTTTACGAATCAGAATTAGAAGAATGCAAGATTAGCTATTCTAAAATACTAAAAAAAAGGAATAAAAACCTACCTTGACCATTAGTCATCTTCCAAAACCTCAGCACAAACACCACTGATTCACTTTGATTACGCTGATAAACACTATGCAGATTCTTAGCCAAATTCCCACGGGCGATACATGGCAATACACAATCTCTCCTAATTGATTAAAATAGAACAAAAAGGTTCTTCCAGTTTAGATGTCATAAAACCAAAACGATACATTGTTTTTTTTTTTTTTTTGCATAAACAAACGACATATGGATATAAACTCATAGATTTTACCCTGCATCAAGAAGTTTGAATCGAACATATGTTGCATTATCCTCATAAGCATCGCTGTTTATCTCACAGAGATCACCCATCTTCAACACGGTTCCCATTACATCTATATCGAATACAAAAAAGTGATATTAACAAAACGATATATTATACTAAAATTGTCACAAAACTAACAGATGGTTACCAATATTACCAATTAAAAACTCAAAATCTAATCCGCGAGTCACGATGTCAAAGAAGCGTGTGCAATTGAGATGCAAGTGTAAATTATGGGTTACTGGAGAGATAGGAATCACGACCGTATGAGATCCGAAAATAAACCGATGCCTGTTTACGGTTATGCATATCGAACCACTGGCCTTCTTAACAACGAATCAACGAACCCTAAACCAGTAACCTTGTTTAAGTACAGGTCCATGCAGAGCGATTTCATCGGGCATGACAGTTGCGCCTATACGATGACCCTAAGATCGATTTCGCATAAGTTCAAGTGTAAAATCCAAAAGAAAAATTGCTTTTAAAAACAACCCTATGAAATATATAAAGAAATAACAACTACATAACGAAATACCCGATCGTCAGCGAGAATCATCTCAATTGTATCACCAAAGAAATTTACATTCTTCCAGAGTCGAACAACTTGCACACGAACTTCACCGCCGGTGGTGTAATAATCTAACCTAAAGATATCAACAACATGAGACATTTTTTTTTCTCTGTCAAGAACACAAAAGGAAAAGTAAAAAAAAAAGAAGGAAAGAGAACACATATATATATATATATATACGCGTTATATTGTAGACAATTATTTCCTTTTTCAACCCAATAAACTTATGGAAACATACAACATTGAATATGTATTATTGGATTAATTTATTTATAGGTTTTATTTTCAATAACAACAATTGTCTGTCAAAGGCGTCTTTTCATCCGTTAATGTACTTTTTCGAGACATTAGCAGCATGCAATATGAGAGAATAAAATCTAATTGCATCTGGTGTACTAAGCATACACGCAACCGAGATACGCGAGCATACCGAGTCAAAAATAATCAAAAAATACAATAGTTTCTTCAGTATACAATCATTACATCAAGCCAGTGAACGTAATTTTTTTGGACAATGTTTTTATAAAGCCAAAGAAACAGTTGGGGAGAAGGGTTACTTTGTTGTTTATTTTTAACAATGTATATGAGAAAATGGAGATATATATAACACCCAAATAACGGTTATGGAAAGTGTCGCGTGAATCAGTTCATTTTACGTATTTTTCAAAAGAAAAATGTTCCATTTTTGGAAAGTTGCAACTTATGATGAATATTCTAGATAGATTATTGGTTAACACAATTTATTTGTTAAAGAAAGAGTCGAATTTTGGTTATAACACAAAATGTTTTGACCCAAAACAGTCTTGTAAATACAAAAAAAAAAGTGTCTAACAAAATTAATAATATATATGGATTATCGATTTTGAATCATTCTAATCGGCCCAAACCATTAGACATCATCTGTATCCAGCCCATATAATCTATCTCTAATCCTGAAATTTCAATAACAAAATCATGTAGATCTAAATATACATATTTTTTTTTTTCATAAGTCAATTTAAACAACACATCAAAACATACTTACCTCTTGCGCAAGGTCAAAACTTCATCAATAGGTGAATCAGTGATAAAACGGGACACACCATCATCATCATGATATTTGATATACACATTCTCTAAAACATATATATTGGAATATTGTTATGTTATATACAACGATTTTATAAATAACATATTGATGTATCATCAGAGAACATACCCCCGTCAATTGCTACACACCAATCGGTTAACACACATATAGCAAAGGGACCTTCGTATTCTCTACACTTATCTCTTATTTCAGTTGCCAACTCACCATGTGCAACACATTCTAGCATGTACTCCCTATATTTTGACAAAGAATATAGTTAATAATTAATTAGTTAAACTTCAAAAACCTACAGTTTGAGATATACTTACTCATCATCTATTATATTAAATCGAATTGATGATGTAGTCGTCCCATCCGGGTATGTAATAGTAAAATATCTAGCATCTTTAACGACTCCAATCAAATCTGCGATTGTAATTAGTCAAAATTAAGACATTAGTGCGAACTATAAATTTTGCATTATAAGAAGATACCAAAATATTCTTACCAATTAGATAATAATGAGCATCTGGGAATTCATAAATCGAGAGGAATGATGCAAAATTATAGAACGAATTATTTGTTAATGGTAAAGCTGGTGAGATCGTTGTTCCCTGTGTCAGTGTAATAACGTAATTGTGTTTTGTAATACTTTGGATATTAGTCCAGTTGTAAGGATTCAAAAGAAATCCAGTCAACATAAACCATTGATCTTCTTCGCATATTTGATTGAAATGCTTCATCATTTGATTGTTTACCCGAGCCTGTATTCTACAACCCTAGAAGTTTATACGATAACATTAGATCAACAAAAGAACAAATTATTGTATGTTAAAACAATAAGCAAAATCAATAATAATTATCACAAATAACATTTTAAGTTAATGAAATTTACTCTTTCATCGACCAGAATGAAATTTAGACTTCGATTATCGTCCGAGTAATCCACCACCCATTTTTTGAGTATTTTCACTATAATTTTCCAGTCAGATCTTTGAGTGTCCAATTGACGAACAAAATCATAATCCGCCATTGCGTGATGCCTATCGTTTAGGGTTATGCAATTTAGAGTATATTTATAAGAAAAAAATGTGATTTTATATTAATCTATAACCGAAAATTAAGAATATTAACATTTCAGGATAAATATAGATAAAGAAACAATATTATCTTCGAGTAAAATAAATAGATATATATATATATATATTGAGATTTTTCTATTTTAAATTATTGAGATTTTTCTTTTTTAAATTATGTTAATATTCCAATTCTCAATGTTACCAATTATTAAGATAGTTTACTATAAAACCATCTATATATGTTAAATGACAATTTTATTGCAATGAAAATTTACATTAGATAAATCATAATCATGCACATTGTTTCGTATCTTCAGCCAAGTCTGAAATTAATATTTAAGCATATATGTAAACAATATAGTATCACAAAAAACTATATTAAAAGAGTAGGGTTAATGTCAAAATAATTATCTTACTTTGCCCGATATGGTTTTGTCTGAATTATCTTACTTTCTTATAAATTTATTTTCGTTTGAATTATTTTAAAAGAAAAAATTTGAACAGTTACCATTTAAAACCCCTTTACTGTCAAAACCAACAACAATCCACTAATTTATGTCAAGACACTTCCATTTTGATATTGACCGATTTGTTCGTTTCACGTGCCAGAGAGAATATATTCCATGTTTTAAGTTTCACCAAATATACACGCAATCTCAATAAGTAAATATACTATTTTACTAAATATAAACTTTTGCTAAATTGCAACACTTTCCATAAAATAATATGATCTCTCTCTATGGCTTATGTTATTTGGACAATTTTATGTTTCAATATTTTAGGAAATGACATATTCATACAACATCATAACAAAAATGCCATTTATGTAGACTTTTACGTTATAACTTTATGTATCTACTTGAGCATTTTTCCTTAAAATTATATGAAATAGGAAACCTGGAAAGTCAAACGGTTAGTTGCAAACATAAAGTCGCATAAGCTTCCCCATAAAAAATTGAAAAATGTGAAAATTGATTATTATTGCACACCTTATAAACACTGACTTGATGGTTTCTTTTCAAAAAACTTTAAAATATTTTATAAGTACCATTATCGTTTCTGAGAGAATTCATAAGAAGATGGCAAACACAAACGAAAAAAAATTCGATGAAAATGGTTTGTTGATCATCAATCCCCTACCATTGGTAATGAGATTTGGTGTCGTGGAACCAAAGTCACCACCTTCACCAACAGATTCCGAGATAGAGCAAGAAGAATTATGGGAACAAATACACTTATTCACCGCATCAAATCAGAAAGCCAAACAGAACACTCCTCAGGTAATACATCCTATTTACTAAAGTTTGTTTTAACCATGTCTTACACAATGAATTATAAAATCTGTATATTCTACTTATGGAGGATGACAAAGGCAACACATCTAATGAGACACCCCAATCAAGTTGCACAAAACGAAAACACGACCTGATTCTAGATCTGGAGATAGGGTTGAAGTGCATGCGTTGCGGTTTTATGGAGACAGAAATTCGACACATGGATACCGCCGAATGGGTACGTGATCAGAAATATATTTAGATCTAAATTATGAAAAGTTGTCTAAAATCTATGTTATTGAGTCATTATAGTTTGTTATTGATTGCCCATTGAACTCTATGTTGTAGAAACAATTCATGTTAAATATAATATTGAGTTAGTTCAAAGCTATATAGTTTTACAAAAATCTAAATCGGATTGTTTGTGTCGGTGTTTAAAAGGAACATAAAAAGAGGAGATCTGGAGTTTAATCAAGAACAATATCAGTTTCAAACCAATTTCATGTTTTTTTTTTCCTGTTTGTAATGATCACTTTAAAGACAGTATGTACTTGGTTTTATTTTCTAAAAACTATTAGGTTTATTTCGATGACATGATAATTTGGTTTTGAAGCATTCTCGATGAAATGTCAATAGATTCCCAATAATATGCTACAATTAAAGTTTGGTTAAAATATGTTATCGAATAGAGTTTGTCACTGGAATATCCGACTACAGTTAAAAATCAGAGATCAAACCATTAATACATGAGATCCAACTTAGTGAAAAATCGAAAAACGTTAAATCTATTAAAAACTATAAAACCGAATGTAATGGTCTTATACAATAAAAAGAACTAACATATTTCGAGATACATAGAGACAACATATCAAAAACAAAACACAGTAAAAAGAAATATCATATCTTGTCAAAAACCTCCTTGTAGACGACATTCAATGTTTTGTTTTGTGGTTTGTTGTCTTTATCGGTGATCAATATCTTCAAACCTTCTCTTGATGTAACCTTCGATACAGCGACCAAGAGTTACCCATGAGTAAAAATCGGTCTTGGAAGATACAAACTAACCTTTTCGAGTGTCTGTCCTTGGCTTTTGTTTATAGTCATTGCAAAAGCTAATGTGATAGGAAACTGCTTGCGTCTCATCCTGAAAGGAAGTTTCATCTCCGAAGGAGAGAGGAATATCCTAGGAATCAGTACCTTTTCACCAACCTTGCTACCTGTTATTATCTGAGCCTGGAGAACATAATTAGCCATCTTAATAATGATGAGTCTTGTGCCATTACACAACCCATTCTTAGGGTCGATATTTCTTAGAAGCATTACAGGAGTATCCTCTCTCAACTTCAGGACATGATTAGGGAAACCAGACATCTTGATACTATTTAAAAACTCCTCGGTATAAATCATATTGTTGGAATCACCTTTATTCTTACTGGCTACACTCTCTGAGGGTACTTCAGATGCATCATTGTAATTGACAACTTCTTCAGTCGTATCAATGCTATCACAGCTAAGATATGTCCTTTCAACACCTGTTATATACAAAACAACCGTTGTATTATATAAATATAAACAAATAAACTAAGAGGAATTAAAACAAAATAAACATACCCGATAACTTTGAAAGCATATAATCATTTATCGTATCTACATCATCGTTTCTTAGACTCAGTATGGCACAGTCTTGGAAAAATTTAGGATCAGTCTCTTTCGAAAACGAACTCCCATAAATTTCTTTGACGATCGTTTTTATAGGATCTTTACAGTCTTTAATCAACAGATCATCAGGAATATCAATCACGGCTTCACCACTACCATCGTCATTTATCGTACCATCACCAATGTCTAAGATCCACTTTGTAAAGGCAGCTCGTTCAAGCATCGCACGGCTATTATCTCCAGCTATAAGTCGCATGTTCTGTGTAAGTCTCAACACTCTACATTTGTGCCACAGAGGTGACGAATTCAAAGTGGCCATAAGTATCTCTGTCTTCCCGGCATTTGGAATCACTGGCAATATTTGCCTAAAATCCCCTCCTAAAACAATGACCTTATCACCAAAGGGCTTATCAACTTCTAATATATCACGCATCGTTCTATCTAGAGTCTCGAAACAATCTTTACTCATCATCAACGCCTCGTCCCATATAATGAGTTTAGCAATCCTTATCAGGTCGGCAAGATTCGACTCCTTCTTGATTGAACAGAAGGTAAACTTATTAACCACAATAGGGATTGCAAATCTTGAATGCGCAGTTCGGCCTCCTTCTAATAACAACGCAGCAATCCCGCTCGATGCAACCTTGAGAACAACATCACCTTGGGAACGTAGAGCAGATCCTAATAGACTCCACAAATAAGTTTTACCAGTACCTCCATAACCATAAACAAAGAACATACCTCCTTTGTTCTTATTTACTGCTTCTAGTATCTCATCATAAACACTTCTCTGTTCACCGGTTACAGTGGCTAACATCTGCTCGTTTCTTACTCTAAGAGTTTCACGATTGTAATTCCTCTCATCCTGAATAAGAGGATTATCACGTTACTCCAGAGTAATATCTTCAGGAAACGGCATAGGTGTGAATTCTTTTAAGGATCTCCCACTTACACGTAAAAGAAGTTCTATTTCGACCAGAGTAAAGTCTTTAACTTGCTCCTGAGATAGACTAACAGCTACACAATTTCAAAAAAATTACAAAAGATAAATTAGCTATCAATATCTTAAAGATATATAATAACAACAACACAAACAATAACTATACGACTTACTTTGATCCCTGGCAGCTTTTCTGTAATTATATATGATGTCATCTGATAATACCTGCCATGTAGCATCCCAAACTCTAGAAGGAATGGATATACTTTGAGTAGTGAGCAGGATAATACACAATACCTCTGATTCTCCAATTCGATATATATCTCGTTCATCATGTAGCTTTCAAAAGGATATTGTGGATCAACGTAGTTTCCAACAGTCATAACACGTCCAATTAGATCTTAACGGTAAAAACATAAAAAAGGCAAGTCAACACTATAGCGATTTATAACTTACAAAACATAATATGTGTCATATCACAAGAACATACGTAATACACACAGCTTACCCACACAACTGTTAACGTCGCAGGATCCATCTATTATATACTCGAACTCGGTAAAAGAAAAGCAACGATATGAGTTATCCATCACAAATACACCGACCGAAGTTTGCAGTTTACAAAACACTAAAAGAATGATAAACAACTCTATATATACGCCGTATCATATCTCAAAATATATATTTATTTTATTTTAATTTGATAAAATATAAGCAACGATAAGATTACGGAAAAGTAGAATAATACTATGTTATAATTAAACTTTATTATTATAACAAAATTGATATATATAATTATTCTAATATCATTTATTATATATTACTTTTGTTAAAATAAGAAATAAGTATACCACGATAAAGAAACTAAAAAAAAAATATGGTAAAAAATTACTGTCTTCTGATAATCAACCAACGAACCCTAATGCATGGTATGCACTTCTAAACGAAGGATAAACGACTCCACCAACAGTCTTAATATCATCAAAACTACGTGAACCCCTAACTATGTCCAATAATAGCCTCAGATAATACTCTTCTCCGTACTCTGTCGGCGATTTGTCCACAACACAAGCACCAGAATTTCCTTTTAGTCTTGGCCTCCATGTCCTATTTTTACGATCCCATACAAACATAGAAGGAATCTCCGAGTATAAAAGATTCCTTGCCTCTGGATAAGACTGATTACACCTAAACCAAGCAAGGAATTTAGGTTTTCTAGCAGCAACACGTCTATCTAAATTATTAGAAAACACAATATTTTCCCCCGGGAGATGAAACGGCATAACTTGCCAATTAACACGTGGTCGCCTGTGAGCACCTAGACATGTACAATAGAACAACAATCATATATACAATAACAACAATCAATAGAATACCGTAAAGAAAACTAACGATTAGTGACGTCCTAAAAAACGTAATATAAAACTCAATTACCAAACGCTTCCATCGAAGAACCCGAATGCAAACAATTCTAACAATGCAGACTGATAACTCGTGAAGTCGCGATAGACGCATATATATACCTATACCGAAATATATGTATATATATAGAGATATAAGAATTATGTGGTATACGCGTTGTTTATTTTTTTCTAGGGTTTCTTAGAATGTTTTCCTTTATTTACATTTTATACACCTCTCAACTACCGAGTTTTTCCTTTTTAATAAGTAATTAAACAATTCATTCAAACACCATGATTTTCATAGCTACTAAATGAAAAAAAAAACAAAAGTTGTGGTATGATCGGGGATATATTCGAATCCTATTAGATATTTATAAATATGAGTTACTTGGAGTCCAAGAAATCAATAAAATAATTCATTCAAACACCATGATTTTCATAGACACTAAATGGAAAAAACTAAAAGTTGTGATATGATCGAGGATATATTCGAATCCTCTTAAATATTTATAAATATGAGTTACTTGGAGTCCAGGAAATCAATAAAAACATGCGTTATTTATGTGAATATATAACTTATATTATTTTCTCTGCTTTCTATACTTCAATATCAAACAATAATAATAACTACATTAAAAAAATATATTTATTGATTAAAATAAAGAGGTCTGAAGAACAAAGAATAATTAAACTATAATTTGTATACATGGTAAATCATTTTTTAAAATGATATTCAATGTAAACGTCATAACACTATTCAATGTAGACGTCCCACACTACCACGCGTGCATGGCCTCTTACGCGGATATCTGCATTGTTATAAAAAAGATTTGAGAGAGAGAAGGCGACCACAAAATAAAAAGTCAAATACAAACATTAAGTATTAGAAACTCACTGTTCCAAAAACTCATCTAACTCAGGAATACGGGGATTGAGTTCGAACTTAGTAGGAGATGTGGAAGATATAGTGATCTTGCCTATGTTGATAAAACAAATACAGAGTCAAAACACTAAAACGAAACGAACATAGAGAATATAAATTAGTATACTAAAAATACCTCCAAAATAATCAATAACGGTCCATCTAAGCACACACACAATGATCTTGATCACAGCGTCTCCAAGATGCATAAAAATTTTTCGCCATCTCACCGAACAATTCACAACTCAAATCAACACCACTAAATTAAAACATGCCACACATATTCAGATAGATAGAATAATTAAAACGACATTATACAGTTTAAAACTTTCAGTAGACAGTACCGTTTATCTCTAAGACAGAACGTGACGGTTGAATATGAACCCCATATCTCGGAATCACATATATCATTACATAGACTGCTATATGAAGGAAAAGAATGCTCCCCAATCAGTAAACCACAGGACGTCCCAGATCGACTTACATTTAAGACACGACCTATCAAATCTTCATAAACAACAAAAATTAAACAATGTTAACATCAGTAAGATAATAATAACGAAATTCAATAACTAAATCGAAAATAAACACACCAACTAAATAGTCATCATCATGGGCACGATCCAATATCCTTTGAAAATCAACGAAGTCAAAATAGGCATTTTCACATCTACGTGAAGTCTTGTCAACGATAGTTGATGGTAGGAACAATATTTTGTATCTATGAGAAGTCGTTCTACAACTATCCTCATAATCGATAACAGAAAAACGACTGATAATAATCCAACTACCAACATCTATGCGAGACGATGCAACACTGATCTCACCATCACTAATAGTGGCATGAATCTTTACACCCTGTGAATAAAACAATCAATTAGACACCGACAAAAATTTAGAATATTTTTGTGTAATAGTACAATAAATACCTGTTCATCCGACAATATGAGCTCCATGGAAGAACGTTTCAAAATTAGCATATGCACCCACGTTTGTAAAACCTTAACAAAGATAGTACAACCATCTTTGGAAGGACTCAAACGTGAAACACACCAACCAAAACACATTGAACCAAGAGAAACTGTATAAGTACACACCGAATCCTGGTGTCCAGATATACTAATATTCTTTTCGATGAGTATATCACTCAGTTCGACGTTTCGCTGATCTTCACTATCATCGTCAATATCAGTCTCATCATCCAACATAACATCTTCATCATCATTTTCATTAACATCAGTTGAATCGGCATCGTCACCATCTTCATCTTCGTCATCACCGCTATCATTTTCTGAGTTATCACTTGAACCATCAAATTCTTCACAAGACTCATCGTCGTCAATAAAATCATCCTCAGAATCATATTCATCTGTTTGGTCCATATCATCAGTATCTTCACCCGTCTCTGAATCAGACCCCATATAATCCTCAAAACCATAATCATCATCAGTACCACGACCCGATAAAACCTTGGTATCATCAGAGTCACTATCTTCTGCATAGATAAATATATATAAAAACGGTGTAATTAGTATTCTTAAAAAAAAAAAACAGTGTTCAAAATAAAAAACAAAGAATTGAAACCATTAGATTCTTTATTCATAACCCAAGCATTCCTCACAAAATCCCATAGAAAATTCTTCTGAGCATGATCACTCGTATTAACACGATCAGAACCTAAATGCACAAAACAAACATTAGAACAAACATAAATACTTAATATACATCATTAATAAAAAATATTACATTAAGAGCAGAAATACCTCCTTTGATAAAAAGCTCGTGATCAAGAATAGATATATGATACGAAGAATCAATATCTACATAAAAATTGAAAACGTTCATAGATTTATATATAATAAGGGTATGCATCTGAAAGGCTAAGATATAACATTACAAAAGGTAAAAACTGTAAGATTAATAGACAGGACTACCTTCGATAACAGGATTATATGTCCGCAAGGTCCATTCATCGATAGCAGAATCGATAAGTAGCTTGCATGGATAACCTACAAATACAAACAACTACTAATAAGTATTATAAATTGAATGAATAACCTAAAGAGGTTCAACAACCTTTTTTTTTTGGTGATATCCACGAAAACGTATGGAGTCACGTAACGATAATCAGTCATGTATTTGTTATCCGTATTCTGACGATGCGATTTCAACACAGACTTTAACCCGCGAGCATATGCCTGGTTATCAAAACCTATAGTCGTATAAATTTTTAGAATTCATCTAAAAAAGTTGAGAGCATACATACTATTATTAAATTTGATAATAGTTATATATATATACCAGAATCAGTAGACGGAATTTCCCAAGTGATGATGACTTTAGATGGATGATCAAAGCTGTACTTAGACGAACACATTGTTAGCTTTGCATGCAAATAGACAAACATGCTGAATCTTTTCTAAAGAGATCCAAAAAGTCAATCCTATTATAAAAACCCTAGCAAAATAATCACGGAACCCTAATAGAAAAACTAATGCGTAAATTATGAGAAGTTTGGTTGAAAACGCTCATATTTATACGTCTAAACAACCTAGGGTTTATTTTCTTGTGAAAAATACTAAAATGTAATTATTGATCTATATGCGATATTATCTTCCCATGAATTTCGTAGTTATTAATAATAAAAATGTAAAGATTCTATTCTAGATAATAACAAAGAAATTATAGAATATTCCCTTTTATAAAATATTTAATAAATACAAAATATTTCCAAAACTCGAATTATAACTAAATTCTAACAATTAAAATAAAAAAAACTAATCACAAGATTCGAACCCGTGAGCCTTCGATAAATGGACCAAGCACTTAACCAACACAGCTACCATCTCATTCAGCACAAACGATGTATTGGAAGGTATGTATATTTTTTTGGGTTTGAAATTTGGGCCAAATTATTCGAAAGAAGAGATTATGGCCCAGACCCTTTTTATCTGAATTAAAGAAGTTTTCCATTTTTAAAGCAACTAAAATCGATTTTAATGATTTAAAATTAACTAATTCAACCAATCAAATTATAACAATTATCAACCAATCAAATCATCAGAATTTCATTAATCAAAACAACACAAAAAATTGTGCGTTAAACCACAGACGAATTCACTTTGCAAATAATAATATAGATTTAACTTGAACTTTTTTAAAAAAAAAAACCAAAAATCACCACAAATCAACAATACCATCATCTCCTTTCATTAATGGTAAAATGGACATATCATACCCTTTATGGCACTCAAATTCATTAGTGATACAGCAGCCTTCTTTTTTCTAAATTATGGCTTCTCAGCCATTTATTCTTTGCTCTTCGGTTCTCTCCTCTTTCACTCAAAATCTTAAAATCAAAATAAAAGTGAAATTCACTGAGAGAAGATCAGAAGAAATAGATAGAAGAGAGAGCATCTCCTCTTGAGCTATGAGATCTATCATCGATGGCGAGCGATGACCCTCTCTCACTCGCTAGAGATTTCTAGTAAATCTGACTCTCCTTCACCAAACTAAATCCCACTCTCTCTCACTGTATCGAATCCTGCTTCCTCCCCCGATTCTTCATCTTCTGCCGCCTCCATTTTTCCCATCTCAAGATCTGCATCTTCTTAAACCCATGCCTTTGATTTCCTTTAGGTGTTTTGTAATTTTTCTCTAGATACTTCTATTTTCCTTTGTTTGTCACTTATATCTCTTTGGATTCTGTCTTTTGAAGAACACATTCAACAATGAAAGCAGAGGTTTCATCCGTTTCTATGGTCTTAAGATCTAAAAGGTATGGCCTTTACTCTCTATCTCTCTCTTCTTTATCTTCTGTGGGTATCTTTTACAAAAGGAATCTAATTTGTTATGGGTTATTTAATTTTGTGCAGGACTTGTTTCGCCAAAACAGTTTTGGTGTTGAAGTGTTTGGGTGTTTTTATATAAAAAGACAAATCACCATCTTTCATAGATCGCTGAAACAACATTGAAAGTTTTTATGAAACCCTTATCTGATTCAGTAGTTTTGTTCAGGTTTTGAGTGGATTTTTCTGTTTTATTGGTATTACATTTTTTCATAGTTCGATCTGCAAATCTGTTTTACAGTTTGATATTTTTGACTACTAGTAGAACCCCGTGAAAGGTGAACACTTTTTAGGGAACACAATCTTGGAAGTAAAAGTGGCTACACCAAAGGTTGGTTTTATGGATTTTTTGAATCTAATAAGAAATTAGTTACTCCAATAATGTTTATCTAAGAGGTTATGTTTGTTACAGGAAGAGATGAGATAACCTGTAAAAAAGTGATGAGGATTTTTATTGCTCTAATCCCTTCATCAGTCTCTGAATTAGATTTCAAAGGTATTCCAATTTGCTTTAGTGTGTTTTTATTTTTGAGAATGGTTTCTAATAGCTGTAGAAAACATGAACATTCATTGACTTATCTCATACAACGATTCTGAGAGATATGGAAAAATAGCAAATTTATGCATGCCTAAGTTGATCTATCATTCTCTAAAGCTTTCTCTTTTGTGAGTTCAGATTTAATGGAGGATCTGATTGCACACTCATGATCTGGGAGGTACAACAGTTGCTGTTGAGTGGAAGTTGTGACTGCATCCAAATTTATCTTCTAATTATATACTTGTGTATATTTGTGATTTAGGTTTTTTGTAATACTTTGGCCTTTGTAATACTTTGAATATCAATAAATGTCTTTTTTTTTGCCGCAAGAACAAGCACAGCTTAATAAGAAAGAACAAGTGTAGCATAATAAGAAACTTCTATCAACCAAAAATGCTGTGAGAATATAGTGATAGAAAAATTCAAATGCTATTGTATTATATACGATTGCAGACAAAAATGTGCTATATTTAATGTTGAATCGATAGAAATGCCCAAAACCGCTATCTAATGTGCTAGATCTATTATCGCGGGCGATGATAGAGCGCTTAACTAAACGCTATTATATCGTTAGATAGCGATTTTCAGCCGCTATTAAAACCCGTTTTTCCTGTAGTGATTCTTATCAGAGTTGGAAGCCTTCCGCATCCTCCGAGAAAGCTTCTTGGATTTCACTATCTCCCATATCTCTAGAAGTTAAAATGTCCGAGCAGATAGTCTTGCAAAAGGAGCTCGAACAAGAGGCTGTATTTTCTCCCAAATCATTCATACTGAGCCAGTTGAAAACGGTTTCCAGACCAATTCTTTAACGGGCCAAATGTGATGTAATAGTTGGGTTGTAGAAAAAAAATAAAAAAAAGTGGACAATCATATAAATTTTGGTGGTTAGGTGTTTTTAGTTATGAGGTATATAACATGAATCTGAAGCTTAATTAAATATAGATATTCAAGACGTAGGCGTTCATCGTCACTAAATAACTATAAATCTAGAATTTTAGATAATTGGTAATAAGTGGTTGAAGCGCCCCATATATTCTGCTCGCTTTGTGAGCCATAATAAAAATAAATTAATATATATATATATATATATATCATTCATGATTTGATAATGCAGTTTGTATTTAAAACTAAACTTAAAAGTGTGTAAATGTGATAACATATGAAACACTTTGACAAACAACCAACAAGGATGGTGTTTTTGAAACTACATAATTTTACGAATTTGATATTGAGTTTCATGTAAAAAAAAAAGAGTTACATGTTTGGAGTTTATAATCAGAGCTATCTTGTTTAATATTAGCATGCTATATTTGAATGTTGGAATCAATATTTGATCTTCAATTGTTAATTTACAAAATGCGATTTTCTTATACTTTTGTTTTTAGGTCATTTTACAAACGAGACTTTCCAAAGCAAGAGCATCAACAATATCTTTTCACAGAGTAAGTACTTTTTAAAAAAATGTATAATGATTTCTTATTTCAGCCGTGGTGAGAATAATTTATTAGTTCTAGTTGATCAGTTGGTGAAATTAGATTTTTATGAATTCAAAGTACTTTGTTCGTTCCACTATCATATGGCAAGATCAAATGCCTTCAACAAATAATGCATAGTGTTATTCATTTTTCTGGTTTAGAATCAAGATTTGATTTTAATATTTTTAACTTACTTGCAAATTTTTGTTTTTCTTATGTTTTTGTTGTAGAAGCCGAAACTTTGTAAAGCGAGCGCGTCAATAATACATGCTGATCCTGATCCAGTAAGTATTTTTATTTTAAATGTTCTTTTAAACACCGTCAGTCATATGACAAGATCAAATGCCTTCAACAAATAAGGCATAATATTATTCATTTTTCTGGTTAGGAGTCAAGATTTGATGTTCATCTTTTTTAACTTGCAAATTTCTGGTTTGGAGTCAAGAATCCTTCTTTTCATTTCCACAGCAGGCTCCTGAAACTTATGGTTACATGCTACCACCAATTCAGAACCAAGCTCCATTTCCCAATATGATTGCAAAACCAAACCAAGGTAATAACAACAACGGTTTACAAGATACTTACATTATCTTTGGTGAACAATTTTTTTTAAAATGTTCAATTAGCTTTATTTGCTAATAACTTAGTAGAATCACATTTTTTAGAAATATGTTACATTTATCATAAACTTATTTATTTTTCTTTTTGTATCTTTTCTACTTTGAAAATAGGAACCAAAATTTTAGTAACAAAGCTATTGTTACCTATTTGTTATATATATGTGTATGTGTATAACACAGTTTTTTTCATCCTTCCGCCACTAGGGTTTTCGTTGTTTGCTGCACGATGAAGCCGCTTCGAAGAGATTTGCTTCAGGTAAGTCAATTTTGCTATTTTTTATGAAAAATCTCATTCATCCCAAATTGGAGTCAATCGAGAACTGCGTTACAAAAATCTTCAAAATTAGATCCGCCTTCTTGTCCTTTATATTAAAACTAGTTTGTTTTATTAGATTGTTATGGAATATATGTTTTTGATATATTACAGAATTGAAAAGATGTGTTTATTATTTCTTTGTAGTACTAACGTAAAAAAAAATCAATTAAATATCAGCATTTTTTCTTCATAAATTATTTAGAAATCAAATGTTATGTGAAAGTGCCTATTTATTTTGATGTAAAATATATGTGTAAATGCTTTATATTATTTAAGTGGACAATCATATAAATTTTGGTTAGGTGTTTTTAATTATGAGGTATATAACATGAATCTGAAGCTTAATTAAAGATAGATCTTCAAGACGTAGGCGTTCATCGCCACTAAATAACCATAAATCTAAAATTTAAGATAATTGGTGATAAGTGGTTTAAACGCCTCATATATTCTACTCGCTTTGTGAGCCATAATAAAAATAAAATAAAATAATATGTATCTATATATATATATATATATATATATATATATATAGCAGTCATGATTTGATAATGCAGTTTGTATTTAACACTAAACTTAAAAGTGTGTAAATGTGATAACATATGAAACACTTTGACAAACAACCAACAAGGATGGTGTTTTTGAAGTTACATAATTTTACAAATTTGATATTGAGTTTCATGTAAAAATAAAATAAAAAAAGAGTTACATGTTTGGATTTTATAATCAGAGCTATCTTGTTTAATATTAGCATGCAATATTTGAATGTTGGAATCAAGATTTGATCTTCAGTTGTTAATTTTCAAAATGTAATTTTCTTATGCTTTTGTTTTTAGGCCCTTTTACAAACGAGACTTTAAGCAAAAGCATCAGCAATATCATTTCACAGAGTAAGTACTTTTTTAAAAAATGTATAATAAATTCTTATTTCAGCCGTGGTGAGTATAATTTATTAGTTCTAATTGATTAGTTGGTGAAATGAGATTTTTATGAATTCAAAGTACTTTGTTCGTTTCACTATCATATGGCAAGATCAAATGCCCTCAACAAATAAAGCATAGTGTTATTCATTTTTCTGGTTTAGAATCAAGATTTGATTTTAATATTTCTTAACTTACTTGCAAATTTTTGTTTTTTTTTATGTTTTTGATGTAGAAGGCGAAACTTTGTAAAGCGAGCGCGTCAACAATACATGCTGATCCTGATCCAGTAAGTATTTTTATTTTAAATGTTCTTTTAAACACCGTCAGTCATATGGCAAGATCAAATGTTTTCAACAAATAAGGCATAATGTTATTCATTTTTCTAAGTTTGGAGTCAAGATTTGATCTTAATCTTTCTTAACTTGCAAATTTCTGGTTTGGAGTCAAGAATCCATCGTTTTCATTTCCAGAGCAGGCTCCTGGAACTAATGGTTACATGCTACCACCAATTCAAAACCAGCTCCATTTCCCAATATGATTGCACAACCAAACCAAGGTAATAACAACAACGGTTTACAAGATACTTACATTATCTTTGGTGAAACATTATGAAAAAATGTTCAATTAGCTTTATTTGCTTATAACTTAGGAGAATCATATTTTTTAGAAATATGTTACATTTATCAAAAACTTATTTATTTTTCTTTTTGTATATTTTCTACTTTGAAAATAGGAACCAAAATTTTAGTAACAAAGCTAATGTTACCTATTTGTTATATATATGTGTATGTGTATAACACAATTTTTTTCATCCTTCCGCCACTAGGGTTTTTGTTGTTTGCTGCACGATGAAGCCGCCTCGAAGAGATTTGCTTCAGGTGAGTCAATTTCGCTATTTTTTATGAAAAATCTCATTTATAGACTAAGTAAAGATTGGATTCGTCAGAAATTAGAGTCAATCCAGAACTGCGTTACAAAAATCTTCAAAATTAGATCCGCCTTCTTGTCCTTTATATTAAAACTAGTTTGTTTTATTAGATTTTTATGGAATATATGTTTTTGATATATTACAGAATTGAAAAGATGTGTTTATTATTTCATTGTAGCACTAACGTAAAAAAAAAATCAATTTAATACCAGCATTTTTTCTTCATAAATTTTTTAGAAATCAAATGTTATGTGAAAGTGCCTATTTATTTTGATGTAAAATATATGTGTAAATACTTTATATTATTTAAGTGGACAATCATATAAACTTAGGTGGTTAGGTGTTTTTAATTATGAGGTATATAACATGAATCAGAAGCTTAATTAAAGATAGATCTTCAAGACGTAGGCGTTCATCGTCACTAAATAACCATAAATCTAAAATTTTAGATAATTGGTAATAAGTGGTATAAGCGCCTCATATATTCTACTCGCTTTGTGAGCCATAATAAAAATAAAATAAAATAATATGTATATAAATATATATATATATATATATATTTATATATCATTCATGATTTGATAATGCCGTTTGTATTTAACACTAAACTTAAAAGTGTGTAAATGTGATAACATATGAAACACTTTGACAAACAACCAACAAGGATGGTGTTTTTGAAGTTACATAATTTTACAAATTTGATATTGAGTTTCATGTAAAAAAAAAAAAAAAAGAGTAACATGTTTGGATTTTATAATCAGAGCTATCTTGTTTAATATTAGCATGCAATATTTGAATGTTGGAATCAAGATTTGATCTTCAGTTGTTAATTTACAAAATGTGCTTTTCTTATGCTTTTGTTTTTAGGCACTTTTACAAACGAGACTTTCCAAAGCAAGCAGCAATATCATTTCACTGAGTAAGTATTTTTAAAAAAAATGTATAATAAATTCTTATTTCAGCCAAGGTGAGAATAATTTATTAGTTCCAGTTGATTAGTTGGTGAAATGAGATTTTTATGAATTCAAAGTACTTTGTTCGTTTCACTATCATATGGCAAGATCAA